AGAGGGGGAAATAAAAAGTTCCCCGTTAAAAGAAAAAAAAATTTTTGGGGACCTGAAAAAAGGATAAACCCGGAAAGTTTGTTTTTTTGGGGCCAAATTTTTACTTATTAGAAAAAAGAAGTTTGTATTTTTGAAACCAGGTTTTGGAAAAAAAAAGTTTCAGACCTTTTTTTCGTTAAATAAGTTTTAAAAAATTTCCCCCCTTTGAAAAAAAAAAAATTTTTTTCCCCTTTAAAAAATTCCTTTTTGGGGTTCAAACAAAAATCCCTTTTTTTTTTTAAAACCCCCAAACCCTCCAAAAAAAATTTAACCCTTTTTTCCCCCCCCCCCCCCCCCCCCCAAACTGCAAATAGCAAAAAAAAAAAAAATCGAAAATTCGAAATCAAGCTTGAAGAAGGGTTGGGCTTCGATTTTTTGAGGTAATTTCGACTCTTTTATGTGTAATATGCATTGGGTAGGTCGATTACGGAACCAATTTCGCAAAAACATGTTGGAACGCCCAAGGTGGGCGCTCAAGGCATGTACGAACGCCCGTACCACCGTACCACCATTTTACCATTTTTATTATCAAATCCTATTTTTTCTATCAAACTAGTAATTGCATGTTTTGATGTTGTAAGTATATGCACAAACATTTGATGTATTCGTATGATGAATTTTTTTATTACAGTCATTCATTAATAATTCATCAGTGGAACATAGTAAACTAAGTACTTACTACACAAAACAAAAAATAAAATATAAGCAAATTTTATCGACAATATATCATCGGAAAAGGCTATCTCTGCATCTTGCATCGTAACTAAGCCATTCTCCTAACCTTCCATATATTTGTGTCAAGATCAACTTCATGCTTCCCCGACATATCGATTGCATCGACGCTTAGAACTGAAACGATTCACACATAGTAAAATAAGACGTGGAAAATGTGACTACACTAAGAAGATAAGAGTTTCACAGAAGCACATAAAACCAATGATTGCAGGAACAAAAATGCCATGATTGCAAGTCCAACGATAGAAACTATTATGAAACACAAAAAAGTTTTGAAGTCAGTACTGCATCACTTACACCAATTGACTATCATCACAATGTATTGCATTGAGTGTTTATACAACTGCATACATGATATACATAGTAATACACTTAGATACTTAATAACCACAATCAAGAGACATTATAGTTCTTACCAAACTTATGATTTGAAATACTAAAGCACATCCATTATGTTCACCTCAGATAAAGCCAAGATAGCAAGTTTTATATCTAACTGCAAGGAAACTGAAGATTAACAACAATAAAGTTAAAAACTATTATACCTTGCTTGATAATAGCAGTGGATTTCCATGATAGGGTCGTCAACAACTGATTTCCTATTATTTGCCAATGTAAATAGAAAGCAATACATTATTCATATGTTTTTTATATTCATTATTGAAGAAACTCCTGCCAGTTTACGAAACTTCCGGAAATTGCATCATAGCCACAACGGGGTCAATCTGTAATCATTGAGAAAAAACTCCTACCTGACTGAGAAACTTCCGAAAATTGCATTATAGCCACAATCTTTATCTATCATGCAGCTTAAAATTCTTAATTTTACGATGCTTCTCACCCTGTTTCATTTATTATTTGTGAATCCACCGATTGAAGCATTATGAAAAGGAAAGTCTGTGCTGAAAATGAGAAAAACACAGATGCAAATAAAATGTACAGAGGGAGTGAAAAAAAGTTGAAAGGGAGAATCCTTACCGTATCTTCTGGTTTCTTTTTGAAAAATAGCTAAATATGAATGGGTTGAGAAGTTGAGAGGTCGGATATAAATATGAAGAGAAAACGTAAACGTGTTGAAGTGGGAGAGAGAAGTTGAAAGTGTTGGAAGTTTTTGGGAATCCAACAAAAAAGATTGAGATAGAAAATAAATTAAAAAAATACAAAAAATATGCTGGAGATAAAATAATATTAAAAATGTGATAAAATTCGAAAACAAATAAAAAAAAATATATGCTGGAGATAAAATAATACAAAAAATATGCTGGAAATAAAATAAAAAAATTACAAAAAAACAAAAAAAAGAGATTTTAATATTTAGAAGATTTAATTAGTTGTGCATTAGAGATTTTAGGGCTGAAAATTAGGAGCGAAAGTTACAAAAAACGAAAAAGAGATTTAATAATTAGAAGATTTAATTAATTACAAATATGCCATTAGGGTTTTTCTAGGGTTGCCCATCGTTTCTTTCTTTTATATATAAGATATTGCTGTGATTGACAAAATATTAACTATATTACTGTTAAACACAGTAAAATTAAACTAAAGTACATTTTAACATAGTAATATTGCTATATTAATCTCTAGCACAGTAATATTAACACAACAAAACTCATTATTATTGTGTAATAGAGTAATATTACTATGTTGACCGTTCAACAAATGTAAACATAATAAAAAACCAAAAGAATTAATATTACTGTGAGTGACAGTAATATTACTATAACAACATAATATTACCGTCAACCACAGTAATATTACAATAATAGACAGTAATATCATTACGCTACTCCATGAATAACACAAACAAACAAAATATCCAAATAAAATAATAATATTGATGTGGTTGACAGCAATATTACTATAACAATAGTAATATTACCGTCAACCACAGTAATATTATTGTGTTTACAGTAATATTACAATAATAGACAGTAATATTATTACGTTACTCCGTGAATAACTTAAACAAAACAAAAAATCCAAAAAAATAATAATATTGATGTTGTTGACAGTAATATTATTGTGTTTACAGTTATTTTACTGTCAACGACAGTAATATAATTACGTTGACTTGTCAACAAATCAAACAAAATAAAAAAAAAACAAAACAAAAAATAATAATATGACATTAATTTACTGTCAACGGCAGCACAATTACATAAATGTATTGTCAACGGCAGTACAATTACATTAATTTACTGTCATTGACAGTATAATTACGTTAATTTACTGTCAGTGACAGCACAATTACGGTCAACGTTTAACGACGGACGTAAAAAAAAAAAAAAAAAAACACTACAAAAAGTCAACGCCGGATACCACCGGAAACCGGCGAAAAAATCCGGAAGAAAAGAAAAGAAAAAAGGAAAAAAAAAATGTCAACGCCGGAAACAGGCGAAAAAATCCGAAAGAAAAAAAAAATAGAAAAGTCAACGCCGGAATTCGGCGGCAAATTTTTTTTTTTTGAAAAAAAAAATGTTTGTGAAAAAAAAGGTTTTTGGTCAAAATTGAATAATTTGTGAAATTTGGGGTCAAATTGAGATTAAATTAAGTTAATGGATGAAATTGGAGCATATTAAAGTATGCTCCAAAAAAAGTCAAAATTGAATTTTCGTGGTCAAAATTGGATTTTTGTGGACAAAATTGATTAAATTGGGGTTACAATTAAGAATTGGGTATAATAAATGGTTAAGGGTAATATTGGGATATACATGAGTGTTTCTTTTATTTATAATAAACTAGCATTTTTTTCCCGTGCGATGCACGGTATCGTATTTTAAAAGTAAAAAAAAAATTAATTTAATACATAATAATAAAAATATAATACACTAATATAGTAAAATTTAAGAAAGTAGTACTATTCATATTTTATGTAACCTTAGTTTTTTTTATGTAGTAAGAGTTATAATCCAAACAAATAAGTTAAGATTAAACAAATCAAAATTCTATCTTTATCTCTTAATATTTGAGATATATACATGAAAAATAAGAGATTGAATCCGGAAGGATTCTTGACTGTTTAGTGTCAATTTTAATAATTGTTGAAAAATATAGTTAGAAAAATAGTTTAAAAAAATATTAAAAAAATAATTAAAAAATGTCATTAGGGTTTCTTAGGGTTTCCCTAGTGTTTCTTTCTTTTATATATAAGATATTAAATGGATGGGCTTATTAGTGAAAGAGATATAGCACCTAAACCTAGAATAATAAACATGATTGGTTGGGGACTTATGCACAAAAACCCCTGATTTCTATATGTGGGCCTAGTCATATGAAAAAATTGTGATACTTAACTGGCCCTTTGACAATCAAACGAGATTGTGAATTTCCGTTATTATTGATTTTTAATAAATATTTTCAAATCATTATTATTGACTAATTTATACTCAATCTTCGTTCGGCAATATTAACATCATTTTTGTTAAAATTGGTTCAAGGTGAGAGAAGAGAGATCAAAGGTGTTATGCTATGGTTCGATCTGCTGTTATTGTCACCTAAATTTACTAGAGCTAACGTGCATGTGGATTGCACATGCAAGGGAGCACGTGAGCAGCACATGTAAAAGTTCGGTGGAGCTAATGTCTTGGAAGAAAAGCAAGAGCTCCTGATTGGCTGGCACAAATGGAAAGCACATCGGATCATGTGCCTCGGTTTTCTATATATAGTCACCTAGCTCCTGAGCTGCTTAGTAGCGTGAGATAAATTAGAGATAGAGTACAAATAATGGGAAACACGAGAGAGAAAGGGAGAGAAACCAACTGTAAAGGGGTCGGGGTTTTCTGTGATTCATGAGCTATCTTCTAAACTCTTGATCTTTCTCTGCATTGTGTATGTATTTGTAAAGTTGTCTCTAAATCTAGTGGATTGGAGTGCACTGGTCCGAGGATGTAGGACTCACCTTGAGTTCGAACCTCGTAAAACTTGCCTTGTTCTTCATCTTCTTTATTTCAGCTTTAGTGTGTGTTCTATGTGTGTATCTGTGAAGCTTGTTGTGTGTGTTTCTGTTTGATTTGAGTTGAATTATGTCTTGTGTTGCCACAGTTGATTCATAACAAGTGGTGGGGTGAACGTGGATCGATTGGTGGTGAACATTAGATCTGAATTGGTGAAGGAAACTCAGATCTATAGTTTCATAGAAGTTATAGCAAAGTCAGATATGAAGAAGATGACTTCTTCTGAGTTTGAATTTGAAAACTCAAAGAGGATAATGATTTCACACTCTGGAGGATTGAGATGAATGCACTCATGGTTCATCAAGACACATCTATAGCCTTAGAACCAAAAGCCCATGCAATTGAAGATACGAAGATGATTCAAGAATTGCTCTCTAAAGCTCATAGTGCTCTAATCCTTGCCATTTGAGAGAAGCTTGAGTCAATCTATATACATAAATCTATGGCTAAAAAGTTGTACTTGAAGAAGCTCTATACTCTTCGGATGGAGGAAGGGACAAAAATTAGGAGGCACTTGGATGAGTACAATAGAATTATACTTGACTTGCATGTTGTGGGGGTTAAAATTGAGGAAGAGGATCAAACCATCATTCTTCTCAGCTTATTACCATAGACATATGAGCGTATAGTGGATACAATGCTATATGGGAAAAAAGACACTCACCGTGACAGAAGTCAAGTATGTATTGTACTCAAAGGAACTTCAGAGCAAGCAAGGAATGAGTTCAAATACTAATGGTGATGAACTTACTGCAAAGAACTAAGGAGAAGAAGAAATAACAAAGAAATGGAAGAGGAAAATCTAGATCTAAATCTAGATAGACTAACAAGGATACTAGAAGATGCTACAAGTGTAAATAGGAAGGTCACATAAGGAAGTTTTTAGCTGAAAAAACACAGAAGAAAACATAACCAACCATGGTGACAAATGAGATGCCTTTGTAGCTTCTGATGGTTATGAGTCAGCAGATTGTGCTGACAGCTTCATATTGTGATTCAACTGATGCCTTAGTCACCTCTAAACATGATTCAGGTGGAGAGTGGTTTCTAGATTCAGGATGTTCTTTTCATATGATACCTAATAAGAATTGGTTTCAAGAGCTCAAGGAAATTGAAAAGAGAATGGTACTTTTGAGTGATAACAAGACTTGCAAGATACTTGGAATTGGATCAAGAATGGAGTCATGAAAATTTTGAGAGGGTCTACGGTAGTTATGAAAGGTATGTTAAGGAATGAGTTTTACTTTCTGAATGGTTGTAGTGTTGTTGATACAACAGATTTGGCTGTTGTGGATAATACATCATTATGGCATATGAGAGTTGCTCATAACTGAAAGAGGACTTCAAGAGCTAGTAAGACATAAGCTACTAGATGGTATTAAGATTGAAGAGTTTTTTTTTTGTTTTTCCAAAAAGATTTAATTATTCCATTATTTGAAGGAAAGACTTGGGGCCGCGTTAAAAAATTGTGGGCCTACAGAAGGAAAAAAACTACCCTTACAATGGCAATAAAAAATAAATAACGACCCTAACTAGTCTATTACAAAAAGTCCCAAATTGGGGTAGAAAATGAATAAACTATTCATCCAAAAGAAGCTGCAAAAGAAGGGCCTTGGATAAGGAAATTCATCCAAGAGTTGGGTGTTATTCTTAATGCTAATGATCCAGTACCGTTGTACTGCTAAAATACCGGAGCCGTGGCGCAAGCTAAGGAGCCGAGATCTCTTCAGAAGTCCAAGCATATTCTGAGAAAGTATCATGTGATCCGAGAGATCATTGATAGAGGTGAAGTCAAAGTAAAACGAGTCACCTCGGAAAAGAACGTTGCAGACCTCTTCAGGAAGCCTTTACCAATGTCGGTTCACGAGGAACATCGAGAGTCGATGGGATTACGATTTATGGGTAGTTGGCTTTAGGTCAAGTGGGATATTGTTAGAGTAGGTGACCAACAAGCCAACTTGTGGTTGTGGTCTTTCAATTTATTCTTGTACTACATAATTTTTTTCCGTATTAATGATAAAACACCTTGGCATTCTATATCTTTGTCCCTTGTACAAACATAGATATAGTCCTTACAGTTATTATAATTACTTGTAATTGATCTTTTAAGATCGTGAGATATTTACTTAAGTATTATAATTGTTAAACTGTGTTCCTAGTCGAAGGGTTACGCCATCAATGAGGATATCAACCTTTCCATTAAGAGACTAGCACTTAGTGTATTCGTACTGCGTCTCGTCAGTAAATGGTATTGTGATATTGACATGCATAAGTGGGTGCTCGTAAGTTGACGAGTTCACTGAACTCCCTCACCTTAGAAATCTCTAAGTGGTTCTCAATAATCGAGTAGAGATCTCTATTATATAGTTGTACACCACTAGTCCTCAAGACTTAAACATCACTGTTACTTTACTAGAGGAGCAACTGTATCGTAACATGTCCCTGAGTTCCACCGAGGATCGCCCCAAGGGCCAGTGTTCGTGCAATCCAAAATCTAGTGGGAGGTCTGTGCATTGTAGTCGGGGATTCGATCGCTAGAATAGTCTTCGATGTTCTCTGTGTACTTCTCATAGTTTGTAATCTTTAAGTCTCTGGCCGATGACTCGGTGATGATTAGAGAATTTGATTTTCTAAGTCATGCACGTACCGATTACAACACTTAGAACGATTGCAAAATTATTGAACTACAAAGGAGGTCTCGATGAACCAATGCCTCTAGTTCAATCGGGACATATTAATCGATTAACTATATCACACGGTTCTTGCAGGTACTTCATTTGTATCTAGGGAATAATGACACATATATAGTTGCTAGACGCCAATCTTGATTCGTTGGGTGATTAAACCACAAAGAGTTGTGGACCCACGGCTACTTACACCTGAACCATCGAGGGTCACACTGTTCGTGCCTCGAGTTTTTTGAATAAACGGTCAAAGATAAAATGTTTAATCTTTGCATAATTGGAAGTCAATATGATTAAGTACAACATTGGTAATTTGGAATTATGAATGAGAATAAGAAAAGGAAAGAACTAGGCGAACATCTTAGTGAACTTTCTAAATTGGGAAGTTTCCAAATTTAGAAGGTCTACTGAATTAGGGTTTCCAGTTTTAGAAATTGGAAATCGAGAATTGGCATTCGTAATGACGAGGACGTTCTAATGATTCCGAAAATATAATTGTTATAATTTTCCAATCATTGAGTTGTGAGAAACGAGCAAAGAAAGACTAACGAACTTAAGCTGTTGGGCCCGGTCCAACTTAAGCCAGTTAGGGCTTTTATACAAGACACTATAAATATAAGATTTATAGGTCTTACACAAACACACAAGGCACAACCCTAACCCTAGCCGCTGACCTCACATCTGCTGCCCATCTTCGCCGCGCCGCCGTTGGCGAAATTCGGCGCCCACGCGCCATTTGGCTCTTCGGTAGTATTTTCTTTTAATTATTCTTCCATTTTATTCCGATTTTTGCGTGTCTAGTGCCACGTATCAGTTGAATTCGGTATACGAGGTAAAATCCGAGAGGAGGAAGATAAATGAGTCGATCTGCCGAAACGCCGCCGCCGAACCGCCGTCGCACGCGCCCTCACGCGCGGCCCGAAGGCAGCACGTGAATCTCACGCGCCGCCGTCGCCTCTTCTCCCGACTGCACAGATTGGTTTCCGTGGCAGTTTGCCTTAATCCGAAAGTTCGTCTCACGCTTCGAGAGGTAAGTTTCGATTCCGTTTTAATTAGGTTTTAATTTAATTAGATTAAATTGAACTCTGATATTCGCAGTATGATTTTTCATGAACTTCTATATGTAATTGTTGATGTATGATTCATGATTTACTGCGAGCATGCTAATTGATTTAATTATCGAATTAATAATATGCATGTTGTATTTTAATTTTCGCTGGAAGCATTAAGGTACGCAATTAATTGCTATAATCGAGTACGTGTTTATATGATCAAACTTGTTTTTCATATAAAATTTTTATTTTTCGATGCGTACACGTGCGCGATTCCCAACACCAACTATGCTACTGGAGCCTCATTAGATAAGTCTTCAACAATAAAGTATTCTTGGTACGATTTATGCCCATAAGCCTAACTTGCTCAGAGATCCACCACATTATTCTTCTTTCGAACTACATGCTTGAACAAAAAATTAAGAAGGATCAAACTCTCTCATACAAAGTCGATGAAGATACTCAAATTCCCAGTTCACCTTATTACTTCGAATTGAATTGAGAACGATCAGGGAATCACTCTCCACCAAGACATTTTGAATCCCCATCAATTGACACAAATGCAACCCATGCACCATTGCTAAAAACCCGCTCCATTATTCGAACCAAACCGAAAATAGAGGGAAAAAAAAGCTATTAAAACCCCTAAGCCATAGTGCCTCCTTCCTTGCTTCTGAAGCTGCAACATACTCGACTTCCATAGTTGAATCAGGAATATAAGACTGTTTCAGTCTTCTCCAACTAATGGCTCATCCTCCCAAAGTAAACACATAGTCCGATGTTGATTTCCTAGAATCCCTATCGACTTGGAAATTCGAGTCGCTGTATTTTATCGGCATTATGTTCTCGCTTTGGTAAACTAGCATATAATCTTTAGTCCTCAGAAGATACTTGAGAATATGCTTTACCGCGGTCCGATGCTCTTCTCCCGGGTTAGACTGATAACGGCTCACCATGCCCACATCATAGGAGATATCCAGTCTAGTGCATAGCATAGCGTACACGAGACTTCCCACTATCGAAGCGTAAAGAATCTTCTTCATTCTTTCTATCTGATCGGATGTCTTAGGACTTTGATCCTTAGATAAACGCAATTAACCTTTCTTGGATTCTTGCATGCTAAATTGGGCACGGACTGTGTCGATATAACTTGTCTGTGAAAGCCCTAGCATTTTATTCTTGCGATCTCGCAATAGCTTGATCCCAAGAATATATGCAGTTTCACCCAAGTCTTTCATATTGATGTGACTCGATAGCCAAATCCTAATTGACGATAATACTCTCACATCATTTCATATGAGGAGTATGTCATCCACGTACAATACTAAAAATACCACTATGTTTCTGCTGCACCTCTTGTACTTGCATGGTTCATCCGGACATTGATCAAAACCAAAATAACTGATTGCTTGATCAAAACGTATGTTCCATGATCTCGATGCTTGCTTAAGTCCATAGATGGACTTCTTGAGCTTGCATACCATGTGTTCTTGGCCTTTGGCCATGAAACCATCGGGTTGCATCATATATATGCGCTCTTCAAGACTTCCAGTTAGGAAAATTTTCTTGATGTCCATCTGCCATATTTCATAATCGAAATGGGTTGCGATTGAGAGCAAAATGCGTATAGACTTAAGCATGGCTACTGGCGAAAAAGTCTCATCATAATCGATATATCCCTTCTTTCTAAGCAAATCCCTTAGCCACTAGTCTCTCCTTCAAGGTTTCCACATTCTCGTTTGCGCCTATTTTTCTCTTGTAGATCCACTTGCATCATATGGGACGAATCCCATCTGCTGGTTCTACAAGTTTCTATACTTGGTTCGTGTACATGGAATCCATTTCGAATTTCATAGCCTTAAGCCAGTGACTAGATCTAAGTCACTCAGCGTTTCGTCATAGTTTCTCGGTTCGGGTTCCTATTCTTCCGGGATCTTATCCTGAGATTCTCATAAGAAAATATATCTTTCAGGTCTAATTGAAACCCTCCCACTACGACAAGGCTCTGGTGGTGCTTCGGGTTGATTCTCGATTTCCCTCATACTCAAATCGGGTGCCGAGTTGTCAACCGTTTCCTGCATTTCAACTTGGTTCTCAACAATCCTCTCGTTTTCATCGGGATCCGAGTTGTCAATAGGTTCATTCGCATTGGTCCGATTCTCGACAAATCTCCTATTTGTGATGGGTAATGAATCTCGAACCAAGATTGGTGTTGATTCAGGTTGAAATTTGGGTGCGTTACTGTCCATCGATTGGGTTGCTTCTAGTTCCTCTATTCTTATTTGAATCTTACTCTTATGGTTACTTATATAGTCCTCTTCAAGGAATCTTGCATTTGTGAAAACCAAAACTCGCATTCATTTAGGATCATAGAAGTACCATCATTTTGTTTCTTATACATGGCCTATGAACAAACATACATTAGTTCTCGACCCAACTTATCTGCATTTGCTTTCAGCAAATGCGTTGGGTAACCCCATACTCGAGACCCACCGTGGTTGATATATGTGCGGATTGTAATGCAATTGCAAAAACAGATCCAGTGCCCCAAACTGAATGAAATTACTACCAAAAGAAAGAGCTCGACGAGGGGACAAAAAAATTGGAAAGAAAAAGACGAAGAAGGAATGGAGAGAGAGAGAGACGCACATGGGATTTTTGCAAAATATTTTAACACATGGACATTTTCTACAACAGGGGTACCAATTGCAACTCATTTTTTTTTTGTTTTGTGCGAAATTGTAGGAATAAATTAAAATTATGACTAAATCATAAAGAGATGTGCTATTTCCACCCTCATTTTATTTCATTTCACCACCAAAATTTTAAATAAATAAATAACATAATATAAAATATCTGAAATACCCTTCATACGTATTCATTTAATTATTTTTCTAATCCACCAGCATCAATTTACTAACTTCATCTTCTCAATTACAACATAAAGAAAATGTTTCTGGAAATTAACACCATTCCATTTTTTTATAAATAAATTTCACCATTAAATAAAAAATGAATAAAAAGAATCTACAATCGGGGATCCCCATCGCAAAAAATCTCAAAAAATACTATGAAAGTACTTTCTCTCCTAGCCCATGGCGCCGCCGCATCCTATGCATTCCTCCTCGACTTATATGTTCATACGATCAACATAAATATTCCATATAGAGGAACTCGAAGGGTGGATCTTTCCAATTTTTTTATCGATGCGATCCAAATCCAAGAAATTTAGAGAAGAAGACAATTATAGCAATTGGGATATTGGTTTAATTTCGGCTCATTGATTTTCTTGAACATTTTTTGTTCTCAGTTTCTCACTCCTCTCTGGATAACAACCAATAAACAATTGTCGTAATTTCTAAAGCATAAATATATTTAAGGTTTTTTTTAATGGACATTAATTATGTCGTTCTAGATTAACTGATTTCTTCTTTTTTTAATTTTTTTTGGTCTAAAAAGGTTTGTGTTATGGAAGTCTATGAAGAAAAATAAAATATTGGAGAAGATGAAGAGAAGTGACGGTGGTGGATCAAAATTGTGATTTAAAAGATTATTAATTATTAAGGGTATTTATGATATTTTATGTTATATTATATTATGTATTTAAAATTTGGTGGTGAAATGAGATAATATAAGGGTGGAAATAGCATGACTCAATCATAAATAGATTTAAGGGTAAAATTCATTTTGCACCCCTGTACTATGATAAATGTATCGTTTACCCCCCTGAAATATTG